TTTTTTTTCTTATGTATGTTACCGCATAACTATCGAACACATCAACCGAAACTTGTTTTCGTTGCTAAAACTGGTTTTCGACGTAAAGTTTGTGTTTTTTCCACGTAAAATCTATTGAACGGAAACCAGTTTTCGCTGAAAACTACTTGAAAACTCACGTTCCACTTGTTCCAATCGATGTCTTCACTAGTTTTTTTTTTGATTATTTATCGAAATAGAAGTCATATTTTATCATCTTTAATACGCCAGTTCGGATTTATTGTTAATTGGCTGGCCAAATTAAAATATGAACAAAAGAAAATGTTGTCAATGAAAAGAAAATAAAAGAAAAGTATTGTAGCTTTTGTTTTTTGTTTTTTTTTTTTGTAGAAAACTGGTTATACAAAATGTCTACGAAAACACTAACAGCCGGTGTGAACAGCCTTCAACCCGCAATCCTGAAACTCGTTTTCACAGTGTTTTCGTTGTCGGTCAGAACATGGTATAAGGTTAACTTATTAATAGTTAATACTCCTGCAGATGTTCCCAAAAACTGTATACACATACACACATACATATACTATATTCAGCAATATTTCAGATTTATATATCATGCATATATTTTCCCAATGTAGGAAATATACAAGATCTGCAAATTAAAACAAAAAACAAAAATAATGTGTAGGAATTATTTAAAAAAATGTAATACATAAACCAAAAATGTCTCATAAATTAAGATATTTATGTATGCAAGTGTGAATAAAAAAATATACTCGTATAATAAAAAATTATAGGATATTGCAGTGTAACCATTGTTTTCAAAGTATTCTGAGTTGTAGAGAAATTTTAAAGAATTCGAAAAGATCCCATCCGATTTTTTGACGAGTTTTCTTAAATGAAATAAACTGTGCACACTTGGAATCTTTTACGAAATTTTGCACTATTATTCAGAGGGGCATCAAAAATAAATTTAATAGCTAAATGCGGAAATTTAAAAATAAAAATATGTTGACACTTTTGTAGAGAGGACATTCGAATGGCATGTAAAAAACAGCTGCTGGAGAGCACGTATACAGATTTTGTTTACAAAAATTAACTCAAAACAAAATAAAAACATAAACACTATAATGAACGCCATTAAAAGGAAAATAAATGTTTACAAGAATTTTCTTAAAAAGCNTGGAAATTTAAAAATAAAAATATGTTGACACTTTTGTAGAGAGGACATTCGAATGGCATGTAAAAAACAGCTGCTGGAGAGCACGTAGACAGATTATGTTTACAAAAATTAACTCAAAACAAAATAAAAACATAACCACTATAAAGAACGCCATTAAAAGGAAAATAAATGTTTACAAGAATTTTCTTAAAAAGCCGAAAAACAAGGTGACCTGTCGGCGAATCGCAAGAAGTAATAAATACATATGTATGTGAATATGTACATAGGCGGAATGAATAAGTTATACATAACTAAATATAAACTCTTGCATATATATAAACGCATGTTTTTCGCACAAGCATTTCAATAACAAGTTTTTAATTTGATATTTTTACATTATTTTTGGGTCATTAATTTTCTGATTTATCTCAATTTTTTTTTTTTGGTTTGCACATTTCGGAACTTGTCTTTGGAAACATTTCGATTGGCAAATGTGCACATCTGCTGTTTCGCCATGACATAGTCCGAAAAATTAATAATCCACTTGGCACCTATGCTTAGAAACACACAGTAAATAATTTTTGAAAAATTTAAAAAGCAGAAAATTTAAAATTATAAGTAAATAATTGTGTTGCAAAAAAAAACAAACTGTTTGCACTCTGTGTGCATATACATACATATACTACATGCGTAAGTATAAGTAAGCANCAATTAATAATCCACTTGGCACTTATGCATAGAAACGGGTGCGCATACAACACAGAGTAAATAATTTTTGAAAAATTTAAAAAGCAGAAAATTTAAAATTATAAGTAAATAATTGTGTTGCAAAAAAAAAAAAACTGTTTGCACTCTGTGTGCATATACATACATATACTACATGCGTAAGTATAAGTAAGCAGTAACTTGCCAACCATCGCAATGCGGAACATATCAATCCATTGCATTTCTCATCGAACATTGCCGGCATGGCGTTTTTAGGTCAATTCACACTATATAAAACAATAAAAGCCCTTCAGCAGTCAATGCCGGCATTTCTAAGTAATTGCTATGTAAATCAATCAACATTCAATTTAGAATGTATTCCAGAGTTTCTCTATATTTTTTTTTTATTTATCATTTTTATTTCTCTTCTGCGGCTTGCATATTAAAGCATTTCATACACACACGTTGAATGCGTAAGAAAGTAGATTTTTGTTTTAAAACTATTTCATTTACGTTAGCAATGCAAACTTATTTACTAAATGAAAATATATCTATTTACTACAGGCTGTTGAANTTCTATATATTTTTATTTATCATTTTTATTTCTCTTCTGCGGCTTGCATATTAAAGCATTTCATACACACACGTTGAATGCGTAAGAAAGTAGATTTTTGTTTTAAAACTATTTCATTTACGTTAGCAATGCAAACTTATTTACTAAATGAAAATATATCTATTTACTACAGGCTGTTGAAAGCATCGAAGAATATAGCCAAAGCGAATATATCGAAGAGCACACTAAGGTTGTAACAAAGGTGAGAATTACATTTACTCAAGTGAATTATGAATGAAAGATGCAAATGATTTCCACCGAATTTTTACTACGAATTCTTTATTCACAGACAACTGAGTCAATTGCCAGCGAAAGAAGTTATAGAGCAGTCGCCTTTGAGAAACTACCATTACCAACTACCGGCGGAAACGTTGTTGGTGAGTGTGAACAATATTTAACGAAGTTATATACAGATTTTTATAAATTTAAAAAAGTGCAATGCCAGCAAACAATGCTAAGCCTTCGTTAATGCCAGCTAAAGAATGAAATTTTTTTAAATATACGTATACGTTTTCCATATATATGTACATTAGGGCAAAGCCTAATATCTCAAGAAATATCGATGTTAGCGATTTTGTGTTTAGAAACTTTTTTGTAGGAAATCGAAAGTTCTAAAAGTTTGTCACTTATATTTTTTCTGTAGCTCTTGTTATTTTCGAAATAGGGACAAAAAACGAGAATTTCATCAAAAAATTAAGTCTAGTGACCCGTACTACCTCGCCGGTGGAAGTTAGGATTACACCGCAATGGACACTTTTGTAGAGCATTTAATTCTGAAGAAACCCCATCATTGATCATAAAATGACTCTGAGCTGTAGACTTTTTAAGAAAACAACTCAAGGTTTACATGTATTTGATATGGGAAATCTTTGCACGCCTTGGGCAAGTACTTTATGTTAATATAAAGGGTTCAAATTTTCAGAGCTTTTTTTTAGGTGTTTTCTACAAAATTTCGAGGTAGGAGTGAAAAAAATAATAGTCCCAAAAAAAATCGCCCTAATACTTTTCAATACTATNAGCTTTTTTTTAGGTGTTTTCTACAAAATTTCGAGGTAGGAGTGAAAAAAAATAATAGTCCCAAAAAAAATCGCCCTAATACTTTTCAATACTATTTTTTTGACCACTCAATAGGGGTATTCACGCCGAGCCTGGTACTCGGTGCTCGGTAATTTTTCTTCATGTATTTTGTTTGTATAAAATTATTTTATCATTGGGTTTACCGATTACGGAATTAACGTGACGGCCAACTTGATAATTTTTCTGGTAGTTGTTAAAATGTTCAGGTGTTCGATATTTATTAAATTTTAAATCCACCCGCTGCCGAAAGGCATAATACCTTCGAGTAAGTAAAATTCATCAGTTTACCAAAAACTACTAAAAAATTTAAAAAGACCCCAAGCATCTTATAACTTAGTGAAAAAATATTACATTATTTTATTAACAAGTTATTTCATTCATCAAAAAATGTATTAGCACTAAAAGTGTTTCATTCTGCTTCTAATAGAAACAAATAGCAAAATAAGTTAGCAATTCAACTCATTTTTGACGGGTGTTTCGGTAGATATCTGCTGGCTGGCCATTTTTCAACCGATTAGTCACGCGATGAAATCTGACTATCACTCTCAATTTTATCATTTTTCATTGAAAGCCACAATAATTGGTGGCCTGTGACGCTCGGCATAAGATTTCCCTTATAGCGCCAGATTGGCAATTCTTGCGTCGACGGATCCAATGAACGTTGGCCAACTCTCAACTTTCGACACAAGTATATCCGGCAATGCCACACAGTTGTATAGGCGGGCATAAAGAACAGCTGATTTTTGTTTACAAACGTCTCTCTACGTTACGTTCGCCCAAGGTGTGTTAAATACATTTTGCGTACGCCACTTCCTTCGCATACCCATTTTGACGGCGCTGTATTGGAATATTTAAAAAACTAAAAAAAAAATTTGTTGAATCAATCAACTCAGCTTATATATTTTTAGAACTTAACACTCCTAATATAATGATGTAGTGTTGCCAGATACATTTATGACCAAAGAATTTTTGCTCACAAAGAACAAATGGTATTGCTGCCGCTTTAGCGTATTTTTTACATTTCACATTTATAACGTGAAGAAGGGGCAATTTGAAAACGTAGTTGAACGTTCCATAGTGCACCCCAACCAAATTCCCAAATGCTTTGTGATTTGCTTTGGTCTCCCCTAAGTTAGGTCTGTTCCACTAGAGATGTGTATTCTGACGAAATTTTGTTCCAACCTACTCTGACCAGTGCGTCGAAATAAAAAAATACATACTCGCTTTTTAATGGGAGAGATTTTTTGAAAGCGAAAGGTCCGTCTGAACACGCACGACACCGTTTGATTTTTTCGTGCATTCTGCCGGTGAATTTCAATTTTTTTAGTTTTTGTGTCATGAGTTCGATAAAGCTGTCAGCAAAAGAAAAAACTTGGTTTGAACGTTTCTCGGCCCATTTGTCGAACTAAGTTTTGTTATATACATATAGTACGCATCTCTACGCACTCAACTACGGCGACAAATTGTTGATACGTGTATAAAAAGAAACAGTCCGCAAAGATGGGATGTTTTACACGGAAAATGCAGAGATGTTAGTATCACTCAAGCCAGCTTTGAAATATTCGACATACCAACTCCCATTAAACAAATGTTGTATTTTTTTTTCGTATAGCCTTTTTATTTATTGGCTGACTTTTGTAGCCCAGTACAAGTGTGGCACATATGAATCTGCTACAAAATGACCAAATACTTTATTCTTTGTTTACTTCACAAACCGATCTGTCACACACTTCTACTGAGCGATCTATTTTCGACTAACAGTTACAATTTTTTAAATTATGCTATTGATTTTTATACATATTTAAAAAATAAACTTTCTACCAAAACTGATTCCATCTCCCGTCTCTAGCTAGTATTTTAAGAATTAAGAACATTTTTTTCATTTTTTGTTTATGTCAAAACGAAGGTCGATGGGTTTGAGAAGTGGAGCTGAGCTTTGAGCCGGCTCTTTTTGTGCTATGTAGCCCTTTTGCCATTACCGATTGCGATTGCGGCATTTATTCCGTTTGCGATTTTATTGTTGTTGTACTTGTTGGATTTTGCGGTCTTATTGGTACTGTGGTTATCGGTGATTGTGGCTGTACTGGTACTGCACTCAATGGTGATTGACCACCATTCTCACGAATATCTAGTCGTTTACGTATAAAACGTGCAATCAATTTGCCAGGGCGCTCTTGCCATTCCATAAGTGTTTCCTTACTTTCCTTTATCTGCGTAGGTAAAAACAAGAATTCATTAGAAATGTGTCTATATTTTACTAAATTAATAATATGCTTATTAACAAAAAAAAAAAAAAAACCTACCTGGTCACCGTTAAGCCGATTTAGAATAGCAACGCAAATTATGGCCGCCTTAATGCCAGCAAAGTCGGTTAACGCCGCAAACATTGAGCTTTCCATTTCAATGTTTATAACACCTCTTTCGTTCAGCAATTTCAACCAATTCAACTTGTCGATCTCTTTGTAGTCGCAAAATGCACCATCCAAACGTCCTTGTCCTGTAACGAATACCAACAATTAAATATCGCAAGTTTCCTACGAACTATAAGAACATATTCGCCTTCATAGAAGTCATCAGCACAGTAAGTTTTTCCTATGACTGTTTGAAAACCATCCCTTGGAGAGGCTAATGAATTGAGTTCCCGCGCCAAAGTGAGATCCAACCTGGCGGGTCGCGGTACGACGTTGCCCAAAATTTTCTGCATATAAAAAATTGTATAAGTTGTAATTGCAAATTTGATTAGGATCATAACGAAAATACACGTTCTTCAAAAGTAATAATAAATAAGAGAGGCTTCACNTGACCTTGCCCAAAATTTTCTGCATATAAAAAATTGTATAAGTTGTAATTGCAAATTTGATTAGGATCATAACGAAAATACACGTTCTTCAAAAGTAATAATAAATAAGAGAGGCTTCACTACGCCTTTAAAAACCGTGAATAGTATTAACAGTTCATAAAGTGAGGAATTTCACGTACCTTGGCCGTGAAGTTGCCCCCAGTGGCGCCACTGACGAAGATGTTGACCTTGGGTGTGATGTACACATTATAACGAAACACTAGTCTAAATTCCAACTTAAAGACTAGGATTTTCAAATGTAAAATGCTCGCGGCAATTCTACCTGGAAAATGACTACTGCTATAACCAGACGCCTGCAAGTTCTCGTAAACAGATGTCTTATAATGATACTCCGGATTGTTTGGCCTAAAATAATTTCAAATAAGGAGTTGCTCAAAAAGTCTAACGTGAAGTCCCTTGACATCAGGACCCGCAGACAGAAATGGAAGTGGGTGGGCAACACTTTGAGTAAAGATGATGGTAGTATTGCAACGAAGGCCTTGGAATGAAATCTCCTAATCGGTAGAGGCAGGCTGCCCGACAGACCCGCCAAGACGTGGAGAAACTGTCGTTAGCGAGGCGAAGCAAGTCGGGTTAAACTGAAAGGCGCTCAAAGCGATTGACAGAAACAGCACCAGGGCGCGAAGGCGTGGTAAATGCCCTATGTCATGCTTGGTATTAAAGGAAACGGAGAACACGAAGGACAATTTTAATAACATGTGTCTAAACGATTTTCAAAGTAGCCCTTTATGATTGACCGATAGATATTCAGTTGAGGAATGCACTGCGACCAGAATATCTATTGTGCCCTCTTGCTCCTTACAGCACCTCGGTCAGTCATAACTCCATTAGGAAATCCAGTAGATTGTTGGGTAACATCTAGTGGATGTGATTCGGCTGCTGGTTTACTGACCCTAGAAATTTCTCTCTTCTCCTCGCCACTGTCTCGCATTCGAAGATTATGTGCTCAGAAGTTTTGAGTGGTCCTTTCACAAAAACAGCATGAATCAATGGACCAGATCCCGACTTTGTGTAGATGACTTCTCAATCTACAATGACCTGTTAAGATACCTGTTAAAATTCTTAATTTGTTCTTTAGGAGGCTAACAAGTTTTTCATATTTTCTCCTATTGTATCCCCACAATAACTACTTTGCATGGCCCTGCCCAGTGACTAGGTGCCAGTGCAGTTTTCTATTAATCTTTTTCTTTTCTCCTAAGCTCTTCTTTGAAGGTGTGAGGTCCTACTGCCGTCTGTGTACGAAATTATAGGGTGTAGCTGGGAGTTAGTGTCAGTCCAGTTTGCTTTATTCCCCAGTTTCTTTCGAGGCTAATAATTCTGCCGATATCATCTCGTGGAAATTGGATCTGTTCTCGGAGAGATTCCATGTTATGAGGTGATACTTCCTTCTCTGTACCCCACCCTGCTTTGGTGAAGTTTATTAGGGATCGTTTATCTGCTTGCTCTATACTATGTATGATTGTAAAATAAACAGGTCACACAATGTCATAGTTTTAGCTGCCTACATAAAGTAGTTATTTAGCAGACACTTGTATCTGCATAATCAGTGGTATAGGAGATATATATAGCATATAGAGCTCCGATGTTGACGATTTTGTCAGTAGGATTTGTATGATTATTTGGAAAATAACACACGAAATTTCTCGGTTTTAGCTGTACAAATGAAGGAGTTTTAAAGAATCAGCTGTATTGAGGCTACAGTGACCTAATCTTTGTGAATACCTACATTGTGGGTGTTCACACTTGCCTATTTATCTGTATATGTGGTTATGTGGTTATAGTTTTTGTTCAGTTTACAACAACAAAATACGCCACAGAATAACAATTTTTAACCAGATAACCCGACTACCAGGCAGTTGTGAATACCTACATTAGGTTACGTTAGGCTAGGTAAGCGGACTGCCTCCGCATATGGAGGCACACTTGGACTCGACTAAATAAGCTGTCCGTTGGGATGCCCTTAGATGGGGGAGGGAAAAAGGGACGCAGGGAGGGTAGGGGAAAGGGAAAGGGAGGATACTTCAAAGCGAACTAAACTTAATCACTTTAAGAATTTTTACTCACAAATTCGTGTTCGGCATTTAACTTGTCGTTAAGCACCCCATCGGAGATGACGACACTACCACCTGGAATACCCAATCCCCCACACGTACCCATACGTATAAATACTGGATCCTTACACCTGGCATAGTGCATAAGTTTGATCAATTCGTGCAATAGAATGCTTATTGAGGGATTGCCCATGCCATGATTAACACAAAGTATCGGTCCCACTTTGTACATTGAGTAGCGATCTGCAATTTCACTTATATCAGACAGCTGTGTGCCGGCGGCAAGTTTGTGTTTAATTTCTCCCATCAGGTAGATCGCTAGCTTTTCCATCCTTTTCGGAGTGCCACCGACTATGACGAACTGGGTAAAGAAAAAAGCAAAAGAATGTATGTAGTTATACAATTAAAAATAAAATCTATTAGCATATTTTAAACGCAAACTTATTAGTTTAAAACAAGTAATTTTCAAGCAAAAAATACAAGCGACATCAATCCTTATATACAAATTTTTCTTCATAATGCCATGATGCAACCCACTTGCGAAATAATTACTAACTAGAGTCCGACCGATTAATCGGCATCGGCATCGGCATCGGCTAGTATCGGCACAAAATTGAGCATCGGCATCGGCATCGGCCTTTTTTCGCCGATTCTTTGGAATTTCTTTTCAAATGTTCAGGTGAAGCGACAGCCAACTTTAAAAAACATTTTCAGACAGCTCACAAAAATTATTATTTTTTTGTTGAAGGTGTTTCACGTTTTTTTCCATACAAAATTATGTGAGAACACTGCCAGCAAAAAAAAATTTCCAAAACTTAACGGGATTTTACAGCAGCTTGAAACTTGCACTTCATTATACTAGAATGAAATGGTCTACAAAACTGCATACCTAAATTCTGGTTAAAAAGTTTGAAATTTAGGTGAAAATAAACACAATTTTTCTAAGTTTTGTACCAAGTTTGAATTTATATGGTGTTTGTTGTATACCAGCTAGACTTTTATAAAAAAAAATAATAAACATTAAATAAAAAAGACAAAATCGGTCAAAATATATTTTAATTAATTCAATTATTTCTTTTCTTTTGTTTTTTTTTTTTAACTCCGTGAAATGTACTGATTTTATGAATTAATACATTTATTTGTAATTTTTTATGGAAGCGGCATCGGCATCGGCCGATTCTTTCCCCATAAGCCGATTAATCGGCATCGGCATCGGTACCTGAAAAAAAATGGAATCGGTCGGACACGTTAACACGTTAAATTTCAAACAAAAAAAAAACTTCATTCATTTAACAGAGGGCTGAAGGTCGTGCCTTATTCGAATCTTAGACTATTAATATAAAATTCTTCGACTATTAATATAAAGTTCCGGATTTAAGAATTTTCGTTCAAAGAATTTTTCTTTGATACTAAGGAATTGTAATCGAGGAAGCCCATGTAACGAACTTTCCAAAAATTTTGCTATCACAACTTTGTATAGAAATCATCAAGTGATGAACAAAAGTAATTACACATTTTCATGGTCTGCGCCGTTAGCTCAGAAGACTTAGATTAGAGCCTATAAAATAAATATTACGTTGGAGCTGAATATGTATTTCGATGTGGAAATCCCAATTAGGAAAGCTATTGCACTCCGCTAGGTAGTATTGAAATTTTTATAGCTTGAAGATCAATTGTAAAGTAGGAGGAGAGAAGTGTTCTCGCCAAATCCTACCCTGGGATGCTCTTTTCGATTACCGGACTATTGCATTTCCAGGTTGAGGTTTCAGCTTGCGTTCACGACTGCAGTTACGACACGACTAACTTAAACGATGAACTATTGCCGATCTTTACAGAAGATGACTAAACCGAATAGTTCAAACCTCATTTGGGTTTGCTTTCGCAGAAATATAAGGGGTATTGTCTGAGTCTTGCAAAGCCCTTGGGCGGTGCATGGATTGCACGGTTTGAAAAGCTGTCCCATACGAAAACCCATTTTTACCGTGGAATCACGGTGCACAGATAGGGCTTTTCGAGACTCAGAGAATACCAGTATAGAGAAAAATTGCACGGCGCACGATTCTGCAAGCGAGAAAGGCACGATTAGGCAGATTCTTACATAAAAATAACGCATTTCTATACCTTTTGCTACTTGCAAGTGGCTTTCGAAAGATTTTTTCTATGATCAATGGCAAATGAAAGGTGAAAACCATGCACGACTTGGCAAATTTTTCGACTTTAAAACTTTTTTGACGTCTTGTGAATCCACTACATGTTTTTTTTTTTTTAAGTCAATCAACCTGCAGCCGGATTCAAACATTTACTCTCGCTAATTTTGATCGCCGAACATCTGCGCCTAATAACACGCAACATCTAGTTACATGTGTTACTTTCCATGTTGTATGCTTTTAGGACCCACTGCTTTTCTTTTAGATAATTTTGGCGACGCAAATTTTGCGTAGCAATTGGCATAGCGCAGTTATGCATACTTGGCATTGCATGAGAGTTGTCACATAAGGAATCTCTTAAATTAGTTTTGCATGTAAGTGGTTTTTGATTTCTACGTAAAAATGGCATTCTATGTAGTGCAGTGCAAAATACGCATAACTGAGCTTTCGGAATTCCATTTCTGATCAAGTGGTGGAAAAAGAAACATTTATGAAAATACCAAAGTATATATAGTATTTAGTATTTTTTTTTACCTTTTACAAATACACATTTTTAGAACAGATGCCTATTTCTGTCCTTAGAAATAATAACTAAAATAATATAAGACTCACCTTGACATCACCAAACATTGCTGGCAAATTATGTGACTTTGTGCCCAATCCAAGGTGATACAACACATCTTCCTCCATCCGCGGAATGTGCGGATTACGTATAAAACTTGCGGGCAGCAGTGTGCACTCTTGTGCAGGTAACCTGTGGGAGTAGGAGATTTTATACATTCTCTTACAAAATCTGCAGTTTCTTATTGTTGGTTGATGAGGCGTAATCAACACTGTTATTGGATTAAGAAATAGGCAAATCACAAAACTTACATACAACAGCATCCATCCATTTTAGTAAAGTTTAGTCGTTTCAAGACAAGAAATTTTAAAAAATATGCTCTTACGCTAGAAAACCGGGAAAATTTACCAAATTTTCATTTTTTTCCACTAAATTTGATCAAAACTATAGAAATGTTCAAATATTTTACATAATTGTGAATGAGTAATATTTTGTGAAATTCACAAATTGTATTCAGCGAGCAAATTTACAGCAGTATAGCAAATGCAGTACGGGCATTTGAGGGGTAAAGAAAAACGCAACGAATTCTTTTCTCTTGGGTGTTAATACTTTTTAAACGAAGGATTGAACTTTACCTTAGTTTACATCACGATCCTCACCACATTTCAAAATTTTCGAAGAAAGAAAACATGTATACATACATACGTACATACTAGGGATGTGAATCCCAGGATCCCGGTGTTTTTGAAAAAATCCGGGATTTGCTTGCATTAATCCGAAAAATTTTAAATATCGAATTGATAGTAAGAACTTGTTAATGGATTTTTAAGTATGATTTTTGTAAAATGCCGCTTTAACTGCAATTAACAAAAAGCTTGAAACTGTACTTTTAAATTGCAGTCTGAGCCTTTTTTGAAGAAGATTTAAATGAATTTACTCATAACGTCGCTAACGTAAAAGAAACAGAGAATTTTAAGGAAAAGTTAGATACTTTTTTACATCAATCTACTCAAAATTTCCCCAAATCGAAAAACTTGTAATTTATCGGGCGTGCTGGTAGAAAAGTCCAATCAATACTTTGTAATGGAGGAGATGGGGGTCATTATCTTCAAATGGCTTATGACCCTTTGACAGTTCAGCCTAAAAGTGTTGAGGGCGAAATATATTTTTCATCAGTAGGTTTTATATTTAAAAACTGCAGGTAAAAATTAGAAGACTCCGCTTTGAATGCTTTGCTGCTCTTACGAAAACATTATAAGTGCAATAATAACAACACCGGCACAAAAAAGGGGTGTGTGTTTTTAACCAGACGCACCTGTCAACATGTATTTCGACCCGCTAAAGCCGATTCTGAAATCCGTTTGACTCGTACACGCCAAAATTTCCAGTAAATTGCGAAAAAAAATTCCAAAAAAATCGCCATTCGCCATTTCTTTATAGAGTAGAATAAACATGTTTAGAGACTATATGGTTCCTTAAATACAATTTAAAAAAATTTTTTACTTTAAAATCTGTCTGATTTAATAATCGCTAGCCTATAGTGCAAAGTTGCTAAGTCCCAATTTAAAAATTGTACAGGAGAGGAANAAAGCCGATTCTGAAATCCGTTTGACTCGTACACGCCAAAATTTCCAGTAAATTGCGAAAAAAAATTCCAAAAAAATCGCCATTCGCCATTTCTTTATAGAGTAGAATAAACATGTTTAGAGACNGAAGCCGATTCTGAGATCCGTTTGACTGGTACACCCTCAAAATTTCCAGTAAATTGCGAAAAAAATGGCGAAAAATTCGCCGTTCGCCATTTCTTTATAGAGTAGAATAAACATGTTTAGAGAATACATGGTTCCTTAAATACAATTTAAAAAAAATATTTTACTTTAAAATTTGTCTGATTTAATAAATGTTGCAAGAGTACAAGGCTGCTAAGTCCCAATTTGAAAATTGTACGTACAGGAGAGGAAAAACCTTTTTATAGACATTTTCTTAAAGTATTTCGCAAAACTTTGAATAATACATTTTGCCCGTTTAAAGCAAAGCAAAACTCCATACAAATCAGAGGGATTCGATCTTTATTAAATCTTCTCGAACTATTTTGGGCTTATCGAATTTCCGGAGGTTTTTTTTTTGACTTAGCAAAGTTTATTTTTCTAGCCCCCAGTATCAAAAATGTTAGCTACCACTCTAAGCTAGCGACATGTGAGTTTTACAATAAATTTATATTAAACTTTGAATAGTTTTATTTCATGGTATATTTAAATGCTTTCAGATATTGAATTTTTACTCATATTCTTAAAAGTTATGACTCAATGTGAATCACGGGATAAATCCCGGAATCACAATTTTCCTCATATTTTGGCATCACTAGTACATGCATACATATGTACTCAATGTATGTATTTTAATTGTGCATACTCATTGGCTCAGTGCATTTGTGCTAATATAAACTGACTAGAAACAACAGAAACAAATAAAAACGACACGCATCATCTAATCTTACATAAAAGCGACAAATGAACTAAAGCCGCCAAAAGACAACACTGTGCCGCCTGTCAACGTTGATGATGCAAAATGCCAACNACAGATATTGAATTTTTACTCATATTCTTAAAAGTTATGACTCAATGTGAATCACGGGATAAATCCCGGAATCACAATTTTCCTCATGTTTTGGCATCACTAGTACATACATACGTACATACTCAAAATTTTAATTGTGCATACTCATTGGCTCAGTGCATTTGTGCTAATATAAACAGACTAGAAACAACAGAAACAAATAAAAACGACACGCATCATCTAATCTTACATAAAAGCGACAAATGAACTAAAGCCGCCAAAAGACAACACTGTGCCGCCTGTCAACGTTGATGATGCAAAATGCCAACAATCGCACCTAGAGGCTTGATGAAAATGTTAATGTTGATAAAACAAAAAAAAA